GCCTTCCTCAGTATTGCATATCAGGTAGAAGAATTTGGCAGACGGTGTCTCCTCTCATCTGCTTTGATGTGGTGGAGTTCCACCATCCTGACCGTGCTCTACGCCAGTTTGGGCAGCAACAAACTATCCCTGCTGTTTGTGACACTATCCCAGATATCCATTTGACTGATCGTCGGGGAAGACAAAATTACGACTGGGCCCATCATCACAGGCAGTTTGTTGATATGTGGACAGACCGGTTTGCTCGCATTATTTCTACACCTCCCATTGATGGTCCGATGGATCAGGGTGATCCATATATGTTGTGGTACCAACGCATTACCCGTCTCTTGATTGGAAATCCTGCTATTCGTCCAAATACTGGATATCAGGGAGTTGGGGGTGCTATGGAGTCAATGGTATGGAACTTTGATTTGATCTTTTTTGCTTGTTGTCATACTTAGATTTTGACTTGCATCAAACATATTGCAGGCCCAGAGCTTACAAAGAATATACCATCGTGCCAGCGATGCTATGTACCAAGGCCATGAGGTCACAGGGCATGATGTTCTCAGAGAGATTCAGGATATATGTGTATATTCACTGAGGGCAGCTCACGAGGACCACCGCCTCGCTGAATGTCGCGACGCAAACCTAAAAGCTGCATCCTCAGCTATTCCACCAAAGGTACAGAGAGGTAGACCAAAGAAGAGAGGAGGGTTTGCAGGAGGATCAGCTAGTGAGAGCCGAAGAAGAATTCCACACTTACCAGTTACACCATCCACTTCACTGGCACAGTATAATTCTCCATCGCAGTCAAATTTTCTTCCTGCAAATGGTGAACTTCCAGATACGCCACAGACATGGGATTCTTCACTAAATTCTCCCGATTTCCAAGATCCGAACATGATGCAAATGAATTTGGAAGTTGCAGGTATGATTGCTTTCCTTTCCTCAGCTAATTTTTTTGCACTAGAGCTATCTAATGGTCTGACATTAACTCCATTGCTCGTATTCTTTGAACCAGATAGTTTGAAGCAAGAGGCTGCGTCAGTGTCATTGGACCTTGCAGAAAACCCCATCTTACAGGCCCTTGGGAAGATTCGTGACATTTGTGCATCTGCTTTGCAAATGACTAATGGGAACCAGTCTTCGCTATTGACACAGTCTGCCATCTCAGTGGGTCCTAAGACAAAGCGATGTAAACCGAGGAGGAGAGGTGGAATTAGTGGACGACTGGTGAGTACAGGCGGTGACTTGGGATCGTATTATCCATCTTCACTAGGATCAGCATCACCAACACCATCTTCTTCATTGGGACCAAATACTTCACGACCACACGAAATTGTGGATCAGGATTTCGAGCCCTTCACTACACCACTCATGGGGGACTCCCCACTGCCAGAATTACATGACACCATGCAATCAGAGATGATTGAGTTGGATGACATAACTGGAAGTAGAGAAGCTTCGCCATATGCTGCTAATCCATCAACGTCAGAGCCACAATTCTGTCCCCGCGGTGACCAAAGTTCAGTTCCTCAGTTGACCAACATGACACCCAATTTTTTGAGGGAGGATACTGCACCAGAACCATTGGATTCTTCTTGTACTGCACAGGTGGATGCCAGACAGGTAGAGAACATGGATGGAGGCATTGAAGTCTCACCACCCACACCTGACCCTCAAGTATTGGAGCTACAACATTCTCAGACTTTTGAAGAACCAGACTCCAAACCTGAAATGCTCGATGAGACTTCCTACACTAAAGGCAATTCAGTGGTCTCTCAATTTTCTCTGCAAGAGCATAAAGTGTTGCCCGTGCATCCAGACTCTGATAAGGTGGCGATGCAGGTTGATGGACCAGACACTTACTCCGAGTCTGACCCTCCTACTGAAGCCCCTGTGACATTGGACTCCACCATCCCTTCAAAGAAAGATGCGAGCCTCTCTCAGCATGGTAATCTGAGTACACCGGAATCTTCTTCATTGAAGACTCCAGTGACATCTGTGCATTCAGTTGAAGCAATGCAGGGAGATACGCCAGATGCTGATTCTGTACAAAGTGATGGTGGCAAAAGGAAAGAACGTGCCCCAGACTACATTGCTTTTGTAGGTTCAAGTCATACAAGTGATAATGCCACAAGTTCGTGTGATCTGGATATTGTTAATGATGATGGCAAAACGATAGCTAAGCCTCTGAATGAGGAAGAGTTGAAGCTTACTCAGGCGGATCCAGCAGCAGTGACAGAAGATGGCCAGAAGAAATACAAGAGACAAAGGCGAGTTCCATCAAAACTAAGATAGGGACTGGCTTGGCACATAATTTAACTTATTTGGTGATTGGAAGTGATGATAAACTTATAACTAATACCCGTTTCTCCATAAAACATTGTGTATTAGGATGATCCTATGTAAATGAATGATTTTTAAGTTTTGAAGTGGATAACAGGATCCTCCTTTCGTTGAAACAAATTTGGTCATAAATATGTCTGTTGTATGAATATGAAAAGAATGCAACTTTCAGCATGCTTGCTTATTTTGTCATTTATGATTCTGAAGTTACATTTTTGCCCAACAAAATTTTCTATTAAGTAATTCTCTGTGGTTGAAGTTCTTCGATGAAAATCTATGTTGAGTTTAAATTAGAAATTTCATTACCATCAAGAAGGAGCCTACCTTGAACTCGTGCAAGCTTGTGAATGTTAACCCTTGGCATTTCTAATGGCTAGTAATTGGTAGCAATTTGCCAATAAAAAAATAAAAATAAAAACATGCTCGTGTTGGTTTACTAAAATATTCCAACATGTTTATGGGATTCTCCAAAAGAGTTGAAATTTCCTATAAATTAATATCAATAATAATAAAGTACAAAAAAATTGGTAGAACAATTATTTAAGATTTTTTTAATTACTTAAAAGACACCTTAACCACTAACGACAATTCCTTTTGATGCTTTTTGATTGGGCATCATGTGATCGTAAAAGGCGAGATCCATGGGGAAATTTTCTAATAAAAATAATAATTTTTTGGCCTTTTCTTTTAATTATTTGGTGGTGTCAACGGGTATATCCACGAATTTTTTTATGTTTATTAGACAAGAAAAGAAAAGAAAAAAATAAAAAATTATTAAACAAATGTAAGGAGGTCGTCTTCGAAAAATATATAAGGCTCTTGTTTAAGCCACATTTTTTGTTTAGAATGAATTTTTGAATAGTGTCTTGATGGAAAATGTGTGATTAAAAGATAAAGAAAAATTTTTAATTTGCTTATAATATTATTTTATTAAAAAATGTGTGATTGAAATGATGTCAGATCACTGTTTAAAATGTATTTTTTGAAAAAAAATGTGACTCAAACATGCCTTAGGATAGTGACTTTTGATCAACATTTTACATGCTCTTTATCCGTAACATTTAATTTTATTATCTAAAAAAATGTTTATTATTTTTTTCAATATTTTATTTTCAGTTACTTCCCCTCTAAATTATTATATTTTTTTGAAAATTGAAAAATACTTAAAATGCATTTAGTTATAGAGTATGTGTTTGGTTCTCCAAATTTAGATATTCAAATTTACTCTTTATTTTAAAATATTGATTTGAAGAGTCTCTTAAAGCACAATTTTACGGACTGATTCTTTAAAATAGAGAGTATTTTATATTTTAAAAGTCTCTTGAAAATGCTCTAAATATTATGGACTTATTTCTATAATTGATTTAAATTATAAATTAATAAAAATGAACAACGAATGGGTTGATGATATTTGTAGATCTTATGAAATGTGTTGATAAAAGTAGTTTGGTTGATTATAAACATGTGCCAAACATCTGCTAAAATTAACATTTTCTCACCGACTTTTGTCTTTTGATGTAATGAACTCATGAGAAAACGAATCATTGCTCCCCAATGTAATGCTCCATTAGCAGGCTGGTCCTGAACTTTAAAAAGAAAAAAGCGAGTTAAACTCACGGCCTGTTTGGGAGGGATTTTTTACCCCAAAAAATTGATTTTTTGACCGTTATTTCATTATTCCAGCCGTAATTTTTGACTTCTTCTTTCACAGGTGGACCCCATTTTTCTTGTAACGATCAAAAAATCAATTCTCAAAATCCCTCCCAAACGGGGCCTCAATATTTTATAATAGTTGCCTCAGTTACGCTTCAGCAACTAAGGCCCCGTTTGGTACCCATTTTTTTTAAAATGTATTTCTTTCTCTTTTTTTTCAATCACACGTTCTTTCTTAAAATAATATTACACGTAAATAAAAAAAATTTTCTTATTTTTCAACCACGTATTTCCCATCAATTTACTATTCAAAAATATATTTTTACATAAAAATATTTCCAAAACACCCTCTAACTCTTATCAAATTGTTACGTATTGTCAATAAATAAATAAAAATAAAAATCTTAGTACTTTTTACTTAGGCAAAGATGCTAAAAATCTCTCATTTTTAATTTTTAGGTACCAATTTAGACTGTGGACCCAAAGTTAACTTTATGACGTTAGACATAAAAGAACTACCTAATGATATAGTAACGATTTACGTTATTTGTGACTGATTATGCAATTATAGTGAAATAGTGAGGATCATTTGGAATTAAGCAATAAATTGGGGACCTATACTACAATTTTCCCATTTATTTAAGAGTGATTAAATTTTATAGTTAAAGTTAAATATTAATTATTTTAATAGGAATATCATTCTAAACCCGTGTTTGACACGTTTTAATTTAATTCAAAGTTAAAAATCATATATTTTACGGTCCCATAATTTTTTAATCACACGTTTCATTAACTTATTTTAAAATTTATTAAAAATTTAATTTTAATCTCTAACAAGCAGGATTAATAAAAAAAAAAAAACATTTGAGTTGATGATGAAGAGGAAAATAAAAGTCAAGACTTTAATTTGAATTTTACATGATAAATAATTTCTTTCTGACTTTAGTTAAGAGTGGTTAACAAATTTTTATTTTAGAGTTAGTAGTTAATTATAGCAATTAACTTCTTATACAAAAACTGAAAATGAGCATCTTTACAGTGATGGCGAGTGATGAGCTAAAACTTAGAATTACCAACCAAAGATATCTTCTTTCCTTAACATGTTGTTGTTAATAAAATGATTTTTATTTCTCTGTCATTTTCTGATTTTTTGAATGTGGCCATTATGAAAAAGCTAATGGCTTCTCTCTAAAGGTTAATAAATAGATGCCCATATTTTCATAATTCAACCCGTTCTCCAGATTTTCCGCCGATGAAATACGTTTGAAATCTGGGTTTGAATCTATAGAGACTGTAGAGAAGAACAGAGTAAAAATGGTGTTCATTACTGAAGATATCATCAAGCAATTTCAAACTATGATGGAAAAAAGTCAGCATTCTTAGAATTTTATTTTATTTTATTTTTTTTAGTTTTTGATCTCTAGATCTGGGAAGCACTGATATGTTGCTAATTTTAATTGCAGCTGATGAACCATTGAAGAAGACTTTTGAGGTTTGGCATCGTTGCTGATCTTTTTTTGCAAATTGATTTTCTTGAATCTGGGTTCTGCTCTCTTGTTTTGTTTGTTTATTCACTTATTTATTGTCTGAACTGGGGAATTGGATATTGGGATAGTCAACATCTAGTCAAAGAACTTCTATGATTTGAGTTTTGAGAGGATGTGACTAATAATTCATAAATTATTTCTTGTCTAGTCAGCTTGAATGTACAAACTTGGACATTGGGAGGGTACATTTGAGTTTCTGAGAGATCAAAATTGAAGTTCTAATGACAATGCGATCTTCAGATATGTTGAGTTTTCATTTGATTTGGTTTGGTTTTGTTCTGTGATTCAGTTTTTATACAAGAATTTGGTTTCCATTGAGTTGTCAGGAAATTAGGAGTTGGAGTTGTAATGTGATCCTCTTTTGTATACATAGAGTCTTCGCATTACTCAGTTTGGTATTACTCTGAGATCCTTGTGTTTTGAGGCCGTCAATTACTTGTCTCTGATTTTTAAAAATCAACAAGTCTAATTTCTATTCCTTTCTTTGGCTTGGTTTGTCCACCTTTCACATTCGGGGTTCAAAACCTCCCTGCCTGCTGCTGTTAACAATCTCCCTTTAGCTTTACGGTTTCCCTATCATTTTTAAATTAGATTCATTCAAGAAAACTAGTTTTGTGACCATTCTAGAAAGTAGAATGTGAGTGTTTCACAAATTGCTGGAAAAAATAATAATAGTGCATTGGAACTCAAAATCGATATAAATATGGAGAAAAAGAAAAATAGACGATCAATGCATTTCAAAAATGAGATATTTAAAGCACACGTGAAGGCACATCATAAAAGAATCTGTGAAGTGTGTAAATATTCATTCACTTCCCACATCTACTGGTTTTGGAAGATAAAGATTGTTTTGTTTAGGACATCTGCAAAGATTGCATGGACGATTTTTCAGTTCGAATTTTATGGATAATTAAAGTAGAAACTGTTATATTTTGTCCTGGTTTGAAAGAGTATACATCAAGAGTACCCCAAAGAGACTTTGGTGAGATTTCTCAAAGCAAGGGATGGGAATGTCTCCAATGCATATAAAATGGTATGACACACTGAAAATCCCAAAGAGAGTGTGACTTTAGATTATATATTTTCTTGGATTCTTACCAATTTTACTCAATATGTTTCAGCTCACTGATTGCTTGAACTGGAGGATACAAAATGAAATTGATAACATATTGGCTGTGAGTTTTCATAATTACATTCTCTTTAAGTACAAGCGTCATCAGTCTTTGGTGACCAATTTTAGTCTTGACTAATGCTTTTCATAACGTGTTAGATCTTCATATGCTTTAAGTTTAGCCAATTATTTTGTTTCTACAAATACATTGCTTCTTTTTGCTGAACGGCCATAAAACAATCTTGTACTTGTAATGGAATAACGCTATATAAGAAGCATGATTTGCAGTTACTTGAGATTTGTGTCTGTGCCTCTGCTTCTTGTATCCGAGATAACATCACAAGATTTTATCACAGCTATAAATGACGAAGTTGCCAGTTCATCTGGTTAACCTTAAAACTTGTATGTCAGAGAGTTTTTGGATGCTTATAATCATTTTGACATAGAATCAGTAACTTTAGATAAATCCCGAAAAGATCTCAGAGAATTTATTGTTTAAAAAATGTGGATATCCACTGTTGCAACATTCAAACCAGAAATTACTTAGTCTATCCAATAACCTTAGTCTATCCAATAACCATAATATACTCGTCAAGTAGGGAGGTTAATGTTTTGATCTTTTTCACTTTTAATGCAATTGATTACTTATGCAGAAGCCAATTATCCCTGATGAGTTGTATAGAGGAATACGTGATTCCCAGCTCGTAGGAATGTCTGGATACTCTAAAGAGGTAAGGCGTATATGCATCACTGGGAGCGAAATTTCCTTTTGTTTCACCAGAATCCAAAAATTTGACTTTTACCAGGAAAAGAGACTCAAATCTTGTCACTGCAATTTTTTTCTCAGACACAACACAATATGGAGCTGATACACTAGATGAAAACACAGACTTAAAATTTCATTGTAATCCAGCTCATGACCTTTTACTTGTTAATCATTTAGGGTCTTCCTGTCATTGCCGTCGGTGTAGGGCTCAGCACGTTCGACAAAGCATCTGTAAGATGTCATGCCTTTGTTTTATCCAACCTTGTCTAAATTCGCAAATAATGTGGATATTTATAACACTTGAGGAATCTATTGTTGAAAGCATTTTCAGGTGTAATGCTCACTAATATTGGTTTCCTTCATTTTAGATTCACTACTATGT